TAAAAAAGTTGATATCGTCAAAATAAAGTAATAAATTAGACAGAATAGTGATAAATTTTTCAAAAACTGAAACATGTCAACAGTGGAAGATATTAGTCACCACCCAAAATAAAACACATAGCTGTATATCAGTAAAAAGAACAGTTTATAGTGATTTTCACTATATCTGTTCCCACTTTTTTTATCTTTACTTTGCTTCACATCTTTTTCATTCTATCAAACATTTGCACTAATTTATTATATCAAAGCGATGGTGTTTTTTTTGTACAAGAAAAAAAAAAAGTAATGAAATTCTAACATTCTTATCCTAAGATTTGACTGTAAAAACAACATCGCTCAATTACTTGAAAAAAAAAAAGAGAAAGAAAAGTAAAAAGAGCTTTTAACAAACATTTTAAAATTAAGTAACTATAAATAAAAAAAAAATACTGTTTTTTTACTTGGTATTTTTAAAGAATTTGAGGTGAACAAAAAGGTTAACAGAGTAAAGATCTTATTAGTAGAACTGCTGTCAGTCGAATAAAGTAAATAATTGTAATAGGCTTAGCACCATCTAATATTTGGTCTAAACATCGAATTCTTTTGAGTAAAATTAGCTTATCTACAGTAGCCAAAACTACACACTTAGACTAGTATAATATATATATATATATATATATATATATATATATATAAAATATATATATATATATATATATTAAATAAACAAATAAATAAATATATATATATATATATATATATATATATATATATATTAGCATCAGTGTTGATAAAGTTATCAAATGATCAAACCGTTTAGCTAATGCTTTACATCTGAGTTTAGATGATTCAACTGAAAGCCACCTCTGTCATAAAGCTCAGATTTCTCAAAAATAACTTGTTTGAGAAATGAGAAGCAAAAAAAAAGTTGATTACTATTTATTTTATAATTTTGGCCTGGAAAAAAGTGGTGTCAGTAAAAAGTATAAAGTTAAAAGTTTCATAAATAATTTACCGGAACTGTCTCGTAATTATGATTTGCTATTTTTTTTGTCAACTGAACAGTTTGTAAAAAAACCCTTTCAAAGCAACAAAAAAGTCTTTGTTAGTTTTTAATTGTTTCAGAAGTTATCACTAAATTTCTAGCATTTTCTTCTTTATCTTCTGCTTCATCTGTTGTATTCTAATTATTTACTACTGTTCGTTTTCGTCTATTTTTTTGCACATTATCAGTTGTTTAAAACAGGTAAAAAAAAGATGTAAAAAGAAGAAATGAAATGAAATAAGACTAAAAAGCAAAAACAGAAAGAAAAGGTTTGAGACAAAGTGGATAAAAACTGAGAATTGAAGTTAATTGATCATTTGAACAGTTAAGTGGAACTGAAATATTGCAAAACTTAGTTTAAATTGTACCAAATTTCAATTTTTAAAATCACCACAATTATTTTTAATCGAAAAGACAAACAAAAAGAAAAAAAAAATCTAAAAAGTTTTTAAATAATTGTCGTTTTGTTCTTTGCTTAAAACGTTTTTTTTTGGTTAGTAAAAGAAGTCTTTTTTTTTGCTTTTCTTTTACAGTGATCAGCTTTCGAGTAACCTTAACAACTTACAAAAAAAAAAAAAAAAAAAAAAAAAA